CTAATGTTCTTCGGTAATGCACTGAAACAATTTACGCAATCTATCCACAACGATGTTGACATGGCCTCGCTGGCGCGTTCCGTCGCGTATCGTCGCGCAGGTCTCAGGCGCCACCCTCGTCGGGCCAGGGAAGAGAAAAGGAAGTGAGCACCCCTCGAGATTTTAGCTCCCGCACTTGGTGGTGAAAATAAAACCACCGGAGAGAGAGGCTGCGCCCAGACGTGACGAGGTCGCAACTGCTTGACCTTCGGTCAGATTTGGAGTCATCGGACAGGCAGTGTCAAAATGAGTCGAGGGACATGTTGCTACATATCACGCATTTTAACTAGGAGGGGCAATTGTTTGGACTTGCAGTTATGGTGAGGCCATGACGTTATGTAGTTTTCACTTCTACCACGGGTGAGGTTAGGTCAGGTCACGATTGCGAAATGATGCACATGTACTGGACCAACATTCACCGTTTCTTTTTACTTCTGAGCACACGTCTGGCTGTTTTATTTACCAGCACGCTGATGACATACCCAATTGGCCGAGAATTTCGGGAAACCAGAGTGTCGTATTTCAGGCTGCCGAAAAGGTCAATTAAGTCACCTATGGTTAAATTATCAAGATACCAAACAGAAATGTTCAAAGCTTTAGATGAGCCAAAGTGATATTTTCAGAATTTAGAAATGGTAAGTAAAGACCGCGAAAGGCTATATGAGGTAGGATGAGTTCACTTACGCCCGCTAATAGATCTTCAGAATTCGCTAATAGAACTTCAGAAACGCAGAATTCCATCTTGCGTTTTGCATATGAATTGCGCCATATACAACCGCAACCTCCCAAAGCTTTGTCTTGGCTTTGAGGCAAAGTAGAAGTGTACGTCCCTACTTCAGGCCAGCTTTAATCTAGGGACTGTCCTAAATGTTTAACTGGAATAAAACATGTTTTCCATACTGCTAGTTATATCGGTTTGATTATTGCATGTATTGTAACAATTCGCGATATATTACAATGCCTCAGCTCTTAGGTTACATCAATTTCCAATTTGTGCACGCTTATCATCCGGTCTGACCAGACTCTATTTCAGTTCTTTAAAGATCATTTGAATAATACATCACAATATGACGTGACAATTTACGCAATTAAATTTTTTTAGACATTCAGTTAGCATATTTATAGTAGACTGTACGACATTTACAACTAGGGTGAATCCAAACATGATGTCCGAAGTGCTCGCGCCACACACATTCAAGTTCACACGGCAGTCATTCTGCCACTTCTTCCCGCCGGCCGACTTCTGACTCTTGTCTTGCTCTCATCGCGAGTTAAAAGGTCATCGCTCTCTTTTCCCCATTGCTGTACACCTCATTGCGTCGTTGTTTACATGTGGATGTGTGGAACAAGGCGCCAGTCACGGTCCTTGGGCGCGTTGTCCAGGAAGCTGTAGCCATTGCACATGACAAGTCACCCAGCCGGTTGTCCTTCCCGACAAGATCGTGAGCGTGATATGGAGGAGTCCGTGGGCAAACGGAATGCATTTTCGCGATACGCCCTAAGCATTGTTTCATCGCGTCACAGTCGCTCATTCAAGGTCACAGGAGGTTCTTGAGCTCGTGTCGCAGGTAACAAGAGGTTAGCTTTGGATGATCTCCATTGACCTGTTTCTGATTTAGATTTTGAGGCAATGGTGGTTTTTGCGCTGGATTCCAATGAAATTGAATTTTTATTGTAATTCCAATTAGTAAGGGCATGTAGAAAACAAGGGATTCATTCTGGGCAGACGGTTTCTATTTTATAGAAGCCGTATAGTCGTGTGTTTGAACCAACATGCACCCACATCAACGGATCGTAACCTGAACCCAGGTCATGAGTCATATGATGATGAACATGCTGTTGGTCATACTGTTGATAGTAACTGATCATGAAAATCCCGTGAAAATCCTCGACAAGTTAGAACAGCTATCCAAACTGGTTCAAATTGACATGACATCAGTTCAAATAACATTGAATTTATTGAAACATTTGAAACGTGCAAATGATGTCTTGCTATTTTTTACCAGATGATCACAGCCCTTTGCTTCGGCGAGTTTCTGCGAAATGGATAAGCGTGGGACGCTTTTTTAAATCGACATTTGACTTTACCTAGGTTAGCTAGATAATGCCGAAGGTGATGACTTGCGTGACTGGATCAAAAAAGTACCAAAGGGATTACGGGACAGGTCACAACATTTTAGTGCGCTACGTCTGTCGAACATTTTTTAGCAATCGCTGACGAACCAGAAGACCGACAATTGAACTTCCGCCCGGCCCGGCACGTGCTGAAAATCGGTGCCCTTAAAGCTCTGGCGACGTGTCGTGTCGACATATCCGAGCTCACAATTGTTGTTCGCTGCGGTTCCTTTTCATGTCTGGGTACTGCACTGCGTATGTATCACGCACGAGCAAATACAATTTTCCTTCTTATTTCGTGTTCACGCGTACGTGCGTGCGTGCTTCGGTGTGATTTTGCGTGATTTCGGTGTGATTTTGCGTCTTGTGCACAAGGTGCACCATCCCCTTGATATCAATCAAGCACCATAACACCGACCGGCGTCCATTACTAGGCTGTGTCAGCTAGAAGTGTTGGTCACTACAGTGCAGTGTGTAATACTGCATGTTTAATATCTGGTAGATATGCAACACGTTTAAGTATGCTCTCTTAGCACCAAGCACCAGCATTCAGTCTGGCCGAGCCGTATTGCCAGCCCAGCATGCAAGGTCATAATGACCTTGACAACATTTGCCACGATTTTGTGGCGGAATAATGCAACACACTGCGAGGTTGAAATTTATTACATCGATTTAAGCGATAGCCATTGCATTACTCCCTTGACGGTCCCACGATCCGAGCCGCTTGGCCACTGCAATGTAACCAAGCGCTTGTGGGCGTCCATTTATCGCGCGCGGAACATGGCTTGCAGCGCGTTATCAACTGTTGCGAGAAATGAATCCACCAGTGGCAGAACTGTGGCGTGGCAAATGTCGTGTGTCACACCATGTGTGTCTTGTGGTAGATGACACCAACAGCGACACTTAGAATGACATTGACAAAGCTGGCTGCAGGCAATTGCTGCGTGGTGCGTTTCCCTGGACTGTAACAGGAACAGCGGCTTTAACGGGATCTGACCCTCACCCTATGCGTCCCCTCGGCAGAAACACCGGAAGGACGTCAACAACTTCGACAAGCAGTTCACGTCGGAGAAGACGGACCTCACGCCCACCGACAAGCTGTTCATGATGAACCTCGACCAGACAGAGTTCTCCGGCTTCTCCTACCTGAACCCCGAGTACGTGCAGCACGTGTAGGACGTGAATCAGGAGCTTGAACCGGGGGTACGCGCAGCACGCGTAGCACCTGGGCATCAGATGCGCGCAGCACGTGTAGAACCCAAACAACGAGCACGCGAGACACGTGCAGGACTCAAGAGTGGGTGGTGGAGGGCCTGCAGGGTCGGAGCCAGCCCTCGAGCTGAGGGAGCTGGCGCCCCGCCCTTTCCAGCATTTCAGCTTCCCTGATTCGTGCTTAACGGTGCGCAGTATTATAGTTCATCGGAACTGGACCGGGTGCGGTGGCAGCGCCTCTGAATCGAGCGCCGGCAGCGCCTCTGAATCGGGCGCCGGTAGCGCTCTGGATCAAACGCCGGCTAGCGCCTCTGGATCGAGCGCTAGCAGCGCCTCTGAATCGAGCGCCGGCAGCGCCTCTAAATCGAGCGCTGGCAGCGCCTCTGGATCGAACGCCGGCAGCGCCTCTGAATCGAGGCGCCGGCAGCGCCTCTAAATTGAGCGCTGGCAGCACCTCTGGATCGTGCGCCGGCAGCGCCTCTAAATTGAGCGCTGGCAGCACCTCTGGATCGAGCGCCGGCATCGCCTCTGAATCGAGCGCTGGCAGCAACCTCTGAATTGAGGCGCCGGCAGCGCCTCTGATCGAGCGCCGGCAGCGCCTCTAATTGAGGCGCTGGCCAGCAACCTCTGGATCCGAGCGCCGGCAGCGCCTCTAAATTGAGCGCTGGCAGCACCTCTGGATCGTGCGCCGGCAACGCCTCTAAATCGAGCGCTGGCAGCACCTCTGGATCGAGCGCCGGCAGCGCCTCTGAATCGAGCGCTGGCAGCACCTCTGAATTGAGCGCCGGCAGCGCCTCTGAATCGAGCGCTGGCAGCACCTCTGGGTCGAACGCCGGCAGCGCCTCTGAATCGAGCGCTGGCAGCACCTCTGAATCGAGCGCTGGCGGCGCCTCTAAATCGAGCGCTGGCAGCACCTCTGGGTCGGGCGCCGGCAGCGCCTCTTAATCGGGCGCCGGCTGCGCCTCTGGATCGAGCGCCGGCAGTCGACTGCGCCGCTCAGTTGAGCGTTAGTCACCCTCCCAGCGAGGTCACCGAAGACGACGACGGCGCTTCAGCTGCGCCATGCGCCTCAGCTGCCAGCTGAGAGTGACTTCCCACCGACGGCTGGGCTGCCTGGACAGCCCCCTCCCCATCAAGTGTCGTGCCCTCAGCCGGTCCAGGTCGCCGGGCTCACCGGTTTGCAGCACATATGCCAGTAAGAACGGCCGCGCCGGAGGCTTTAGGAGCGCTGGGCCGCCGGGCAGCGGTAAACGCAGTGCCATACGTTGCGTTGTGTATGCTTGGCCAGGTTGGGCGTTGTCTGACGGGTGAGTGAGTTAGAGTGGGCGGACTAGTTAGGCCAGACGAGCCATGTGTCACATTTTACTAGTTCGTACCCCGTTCCAGGACAGACAAGTTACCGCAACTTGTTACGCTGCGTTGTTATCTATATATCTACAGTCGTGATGGACGCATGCTACGTAGATGACGCTTGATAGCAATCAGGATATTATGGGCCGCGTAGTCTTCGTTCAGGTGTCTCGCTGTCTGCCACTGCCTTCCAGACTCAGCTGTGTTTAGCCTCGGTGTAGTGTTACGATAGACATACGCGCGGGCGATGGCGATCCATTCATTTTTGTGTGAACATCCGTGTATTTTCTCAGTCATGTGTGCTATCGAATGTTACGTACGTTATTAAATCCGACATCGCGGGCTTAGCATTACCGACTGTTATCAACCGAGAAGCGTCGATTGCTGCTTCGGCTCGCTCCTCGGCCGTGGAGGCTGCGGTTGCCATGGCGACGATAGATCAGGCAGCTCGGGCGTCTTATTTAGGCGGATTGCTTCTGTGAGGCCATCGGCGTTGAGCCGCGAGCTGCAGCTTCAGCAGCGGTGCTGACGCCAGTCTCGGCCAACGGCGCCATGACACCGTTCGTTTGCATCGCATTTGCAAGTCAGCGTTCCAGCGTTAATATACGATCATTGACACTTGCGTGATCTGCAACGATCTGTGGTCGCGGCTGCTGCACGTGGATGATGGGGGCGCACTCAGCTGAATACCTCGGCTCGAACCGCGGCCACAGTTTGCGCCAAAAGCAAACCAACATCGCCACAAAATAGCCGTAATGAAGGCATCATGTACCGTTGGCCTTTCTCATAGCCCAGCGTTCATACTTCCAAACCGTCTCTAAGTACTGCTACCGCCTATTGCTGAAGCCCCCATTACCCCTTGAAGACGTGAGTACTGCGGGGTGCATTTATGTGTGGAAGTATTGCGAACGTTAAGCAAAACGTTCGGTTGTCGGAGCCTTTCATAATGGCTCGATTGTTTACGACGCAATAACCTGTTATCATCATTGCTGATGCATTCTTCCAAATCCAATCTGATGGGGAAATTGAAACGCAGTAGGAGGTAATCCTGCCAGTATCCCGGGCCTCGTGATCAAAAATCCGTTCGCCAACACAAAGATGGGGTGTTACCTTGGCCAATACACAATAAGCTCACGGCTATGACAGATGCTATATCAGCTTTGCCAAAACTATCGCCAGAACTATTGCAACACATCCGGACTTTGTCGCCGAAATTGTTCACCCAGCACGCCGACGCCGGGTGTATTGACGCTCGAAACTTCTGGCTGACATTCGCTTCTGTGACGCTCATTGAAATATATGACCGCGCTTATTGCTGCAATACATCTTCCGATTCTTTCGGCAACAGCGTGCATTGCCATTGGGACGGTGGCAACGTAGCAGAAAACCAGAATTCTGCGGCCACAAAATGGCCTGCGGTACCAGCGGAATCAGGCTTGGAGCCACGGCTTCGCCGTCCCTGAGACCTGGGGCACTAGTTCAGTAATCGCGCTTTTTTTAGCTTCACGAGTGCATTTGGTGGCAACGGTGCGTCCGCCATTGCGAAGTGGACGACAGCAGGCACCAGCAGTCTGTTCAAATACGATTGCCCCTCATTATTCAAATGGAATCCGATCGATGTTGGCCCAGGCCATTAGCAGATAGGTAAATGGCGGTTTCGCCGTTCCTTCGGCAGTCGCGGAGCTACGACGCGAGGGTGAACAATACGACGCGTCTACGGCTGCAAGTGCCGCGGTCACCGGGTTGTGGCGCGGCGTGGCCGTATGAAGACAAACCCAGCGCAGGTGTCCAAGCCACACAGCTTAACATCACCCACACGTAATACTATTTCCCTTCGTTACAGTTGGTTACGTTTGGCTGGGTTCAGTCGTATCGGGTTAGGTTATGTTAGGTCAGGTTCAGTCAGATAACGTTAGGTTAGGTCAGGTTTAGTCAGATGAGGTTAGGTTAGGTCAGGTTCAGTCAGATGAGGTTAGGCTGGGTTAGACCTCGTCAGGTTCAATCAGATGGGGCTAGGTTAGGTTAGGTCAGATTCGGTCACATAAGGTTAGGTTAGGTTAAGTCAGGTCGGGTCAGGTCAGGTCCATCCAGATGAGGTTAGGCCAGCTTAGATCAGGCTCAGTCATATTAGTCCTGATTAGCCTCGATCAGGGGTTCAGTCAGAACAGGTCGAGGATAGGTCAGGTTGGGTCCAGTCAAGGCAACTGCGGACACGACGCACCGTACGCAGTCTGCACGTGCTTGGCCGGCACTGGGATCCATGATTCAGAGCCAAACAAACCTCCCAGGGGCCGTTCCTTTGTCATTCCGGTGTGGTGTGGCGCACAATTAATGGTCACGGCGTCCATACTAACACATCACCACCACTCTTCCACGGTTAGAACGGCATCCATAGGGATCTCGGAGCTCCATGTCTTGTAACGCACACCAAGCACTGACGCGATAGTCCGCAGGTTTGGACCTTCGGCACTCCGAGCGGACCAGAGAGTTCTCGAGCGCTTGCTGGACCATGTCGAGGTCGGCATGCGTGGTTCCAGTTAGTTAGTAGGTTCTAAAGCGTACCCTCATAACGCTCACTTTTACCAAAACACGTTGGATTCGGGGTTAAAGAGCCGCCAAATATCCATGTGGGAATAGGCACACTCCCTATGGAAGAAGGCGCGCTGCGCGGTGATTGCTCAGACTCGTCACTGAACACGCGTTCGGGGGGGTGGGGAGGTGGTCAGTTTGACCCCCAAGGAATTAACCTCCGAACTTCCAAAATGTCTTCCGGACGGCGTGGCGTAACTGCGTCAAACTTTGCATAGCTGTAGCAAATCAAATAGCAATCTTTTGGTGTAAAATGACGTGCACCTTGTCGTGTCGCTGACCTATGGCAGCCGATAGCTCAGTAAGGCCATGGCTGTCAGCGAAGGCAATTCCTAGGGATCGTCCAATCTGATGTGACAGGGGACTTTTAGACGAAGCCATGCATCTTTGAGACGGTTACTTTGACAAGAAGACAATTTAATTCAGAGTAAGACAAATTCCATTGACCTGAGTCGATGGAATTTATCTTACTTGTCTTATGTAAGACAAATTTCGTTCTATTGTCTTACCTGTCCTTCTTTGTCTTATGGTCCTCCTTTACAGGCCTTGTTTTGTGGGCTAGTTTTGGCGATTATTTTAAATCTCTCGATCGGAGGGATGTCAACAGACGCGTAATTGAACCTCGTAAAAGTCGGAAGAGGTCACCTACCTAAAATGACCCCGGCAAACTTTTTGCTTCTAGGAGCATGTCGTCTAGCGTAGTCCTTGACGGCTAGCGAAATACAAAATAAATCTTGCAGGGTTTCGTTAGCTGACTTTGTGGTCAAATGTCATCAATCTGAAATTAACACTTGACCTTTGGTTTAGGAGAGGTACCTAGGCAAAAGATGTGTACAAAGGTCCGGATTTTCCGGCATTGATTTGGAGTCTGACTTAATTCGACCCGCATGTCAAGGTCACCTAGTGATCCCAACACTGCACACAAGTGAGCGCGCATACAGGCCCATCTATTCAGTAAATTTGGTGCCGTAGCTCTCCATTTATTTCGGCCGAGCTGTTTATAAGACCTCAGGTGGGTTAAAATGAACCCCCAACCGAGCGTCGCCACCACCCGTGCGCGTTACCCCAGCCTGCTGCAATGCGATCGCTGACTCAGAAACACATGGCAAAGTGGGCAGTAGTGACTGCGGAGTAATTATGGTTGCGAATAATTACCATCGCTAGTCACTTGGCTGTAATCTGCCTCATCCTTGGCTCCAAATCGCAGACGCCCAACTCAGAGCAGAAACACGGCACTGTTCAGAACTGTTTATTTTCCACTTTTGATAAAAAGCCTTCCAACGCGGATAAAACCATGGTGAACCCCCCAACCGAAGGAGGCCGCCGGGGGAGGGGAAGGGAGGGGGAAGGGAGAGGGTCGGCCCGCTCCGTCCGCGGCGGCCGACCGTCCAGGTCGGCCGCTCCTCCGCGAGGCGCCGACTCGGCGGCCCGCCGGCGGCAGGCGCGCGCCCGCCACGGGGCGTGCGCCCGGGCGAGAGACAACAACGGAGAACGGGCGCCGCGGCGGGGCGCGCAGCCGGGAGGGAACAGCCACAACAGGTGCCCCGCCCCTCGGAAACCGTCCGCCGGGGCGCGGGCGGCCGCCCGGCCCCGGCGGCTCCCACCGCGGCCGGGCCCGTGCGCACGCGCACAGCGCCCGGCCGCATCGCGCACACGCCGGCACCGCGGGGCACCACCGGAACAGGAATTTTAGAAACATACTTGCGGTATAAAATCTATCAGAATATGTATTCAACACAATGGCGGCAATGCTGCACAGTCGCCCCCGCCGCGCCACCGCCACCCTTCGGCCACCTGTCCAGATCCTGTTTCGCGTCATCCCGCCAGACGGCAGCACCTGTCCTTGCTCCCGACGCACTCGCCTATCGGCGGTCATTAAATTAAGGCCATCACACAAGATATAGGTGAGTGGGGGCCAGGAGCCGGCCGGCACCCGGCACGAGCGGCGCCTCGTCCCTGGCGACCACCGCCAATCGGAATAGCCGCTGTCCCTACGTCTCTCCCTCCATCACGCGCCGACCGAACCCGGCCGGCACATTGCCACTAAGTAACACAGTTCACTCGATTAACTTAAGCACTTTTCCTATGGCGATCGTTTTTCCTGAAACGGAGGAAAAGATGTTAGCCGGTTGGGAGATGGAGTCGAAGACGCTGCATTGTTGACATTGTCCATTGCAAATATGCCCGTTGAACTAGCATTGTTCCTATAAATGCGCTACATGGTTTAAGCTCTACGATAGCAGTCACGAAACATGATCGTGTTGACATATCTCTTAACTCCACGGTCAGCTGACAGCAGACACCGCGCCACAGAAAACAATCGGTTAAGCGCCAAAACACATGCTGAAACTACTCTCCGTATCCTCCGTGTTTCTCTCCGCTGCACTTGCGCTGGCAACGCGAAAGGCCCTCGGCCGCACCAAATGCTGCCATAAAGGCCAGACAACAGACGGCAACTGCGCCGCCAACAACACAGAGGCGGGCGCCCCGGACGCTGCCTTCGGCTGCGGCGCGGCGCTGCGCGACGCACCTTCGTCGCGTAGTGTGAACCGGCCCAGCTGGGGGAACTTTTTGAAGACCTCTAGGCAGATGGGTCCGCTGGACTCGAGCCGCATGATCACCACCTGGTCCTGCTTGACGAACCGCGGCCGGCTCTTCGACTTCTCGCCCGTCCGTTTGTCGATCATGCACAGCAGCGCCTGGCGGGCCGGTGAGGCGGCGGTCAGACGCGGCGGCGGCGGCACGCGGCCGGCACGCACACGCACCACACACGCGCACCCGAGGTCAGCAGGGGGCACGTGCCTCGTCCGGAGAGGCTCACAGTGCAGTCAGGTCACGCGGTGCGGGGGTCATCTGTGGGGTCGGACAGGGGTCACGGCACGTGCAAACAGAGCGGCCCGACGAGCAGCAGCAGGTCATAAACTGCGAGGTCAAGTTCGTAGGTCAGCAAGGGAAAATCATCACGATTGCGACGCTTGGGACCGACGGCGCTGCTGCATGGTTTGAGACTCGAGTCCGCTGCGTCCCCTGCACTACGAGACCCCTGCAGAGTCTGTCTTACTGGCAGACGGGGTCCACGAGCGTGCGAAGCGCGACGAAGGATCGGGAGGACCGGTGTGAATCCAATCATTCCGTGCCGGGGGAGCCCCACCAGTCACCGCTGGGTTACGAGATGCAGGGGGCGGCTGCGTTCATGGCTTGCGTCCACACGATCAGCATCAAATGCGGGGCCAACGACGGGACCGTGCAAGGCCACGGGCGTCCAAGACTAGCCCTGCGCCACAGGCTAACCGAAGTCAGGTGATGAAAGTCGACTGTGAGGAATGAGTGAGAAGAAGGGTTAGAAAGTCAGATGTGACGAATAACGTGAAAATAGATGTGACGTATAACGTAGAAGTCAAGTGAAAGTCGGGTGTGACAAGCAACAGGACGCTCATAGCTCGCACTACCCCAGCACTACACAAGACCACAGTGACAACACAACAGTCTTTCCCAAAGCCGCACCACACACACAAAACGTCAGCCATGCTGTCCAGCCGGACCCCAAGCGGGAGCACGACCCGCAAAGACAACCGGCGCCAGCGCGGCTGACCTTAACGGTGACCTCCTCGACGACCGTGTGCAGGTGGCAGATGGCCGAGTAGCCGGCGCAGATGATAGACTTGTGCTCCAGGATGGCCACCTGTGCGTCGAACACGCGGCCGGTCGGCACCGGCCGCGACGGGTCGCACAGCACGAAGCCCGACGAGATGTCGTTCTCGTCGACGCCCTTCAGCCGGATCTTGACGTTCTCGCCGCCGACCACCGACGTCACCTCCTCGTCGTCGGACCAGAGCGCGTCCGCCTGCACGGACATCTGCCGGACGAAGCGGGAGGCTCAGGTGCGGTCCGGCGGCCGACAGGGCGTGGCGTGCGGCGAGCTGTCTGGGCCGCCGGGTGAGTTTTTATAATTGTACGTGGTTTTGAAAGCAGTTTTAGTATGGAAAAAAACGAGGAAAGAGAGAGAGAGAGACGTGGTACAAGAGCACAACACTCCCAGGCTAATAAAAAGCTGCTATTCCACATTGTACAGCAATTTCTCACGCTTTCCACTCACACACCGACTTCGCAGGAACGAAACCCTCCAACTGCAGTTCAATCGAGGTAAGGTATGCAGGCCATTCGGACTGCACGACTATACGTCGCACAGCATGCTGCGGCAGCTACACAGGAGCTGGGAGCCAGGCTAATGCTAGCAAATTCTCGTCACACATGACGCGCGAACTTTGTCCCAACGCAGGCCTCATGACGGAGGCTCGCACCGGATTTGCGCGGTGCCGCATTTCTATCCGCGCGTCACTCGTCAACGCCGACCAGTCCGCCTGGGCGACGACAGCGGCCGTGTCTCCGCACAAGGCGAGAGCAGCGCAGAGACCGGCCGCGTCGCGGGAGCGGGCCCCCCCAGCCGGCCAGCGACCCGGATCAGGCCCGCACGCGGTGGCGCTGCGCCAGCTCAACGCCAGACCCGCCGCGACCGTGAGGCGCCGAGCGCTCCGGGCGCCACCGCCCAGACTAGAGCTTCCGTGTGTGGCCAGACCGGGCCGCCCGAAACTCGCCCAGCGGTCTTCCATCTAGCACGCCGCGCCGCGTTACGACACAGACAAGATTGACGCCGCCGCGTTCGGCCAGAGACGACACAATCAGCAGGGACCCGAAACGACGAAATTTTCACCCCCGGTCGTAAGCGCCCCGTTTACGAGCGGCCACGGAGTGACCGGCCACATCCCGGCCTCTGAGATCCACTCAACAACAACGAGAGCGCGTCCCGTTCGGACCCGCGCGCCCCTGCGATCTCCGCGCCTGTCACGGCCGCCAGCGGCCGGCCATCGCCACCCGCGAGCCCGCTCCGACGGACACTGGCCCCGCGCCTCCACTCACCCGGTTGGGCATGAGCAGCAGCGTCTGTCCCTTCTTGCAGGTGCCGCTCTCCACCTTGCCCAGCACGATGGTGCCCCGGTCGCTGTACTTGTCGACGATCGGCATCATGAACGGTCCCTCCGGGTTGTGCTGCATCGACGGCAGCGTGTCGATGTACGGGATGAACGCCGGCCCGCTGCCGACAGACCGGTGACGTTAGTGGTGTCCCTGCGGACGGGCCGGTGACGTCAGTGACGTCGCTGTCCACGGACCAGTGACGTTAGTGGTGTCCCTGCGGACGGACCGGTGACGTCAGTGGCGCCGCTGCGGACAGACCGGCCGGCCGATGCCAGGAGACGCCGCAGGGGGCGCAGGGAGCGCGGCGCAGCACGCGGGGGCCGACAGAAGGCCTACGGCAGGGGACGCGGCGCGCTAGAGGCACTCCGCAGCGGAGGGCTTGTGGTCAGCCCCCCAGACTAAGTGCACAAGCGGGTTGACACGGCGATGCTACAGCGGAAGACCATTTGCGCGTACCACTGACCTGTGCCAGGGGCAGAAGGCCGGTCCACGGGCTGCTTGAGGCCGGCTCCGGTCAGGCCCGAGCGCCAGAGCCGGCGGGGGCGCGCGCGCGCGTACCACTGACCTGTACCAGGGGCAGACGGCCCGGTCCACGGGCTGCTTGAGGCCGGCTCCGGTCAGGCCCGAACGCCAGAGCCGGCGGGGGCGCGCGCGCGCGTACCACTGACCTGTACCAGGGGCAGACGGCCCGGTCCACGGGCTGCTTGAAGCCGGCTCCGGTCAGGCCCGAACGCCAGAGCCGGCGGGGGCGCGCGCGCGCGCGCGTACCACTGACCCGTACCAGGGGCAGACGGCTGAGTCCACGGGCTGCTTGAGGCCGGCTCCGGTCAGGCCCGAGCGCCAGAGCCGGCGGGGGCGCGCGCGCGCGTACCACTGACCTGTACCAGGGGCAGACGGCCCGGTCCACGGGCTGCTTGAGGCCGGCTCCGGTCAGGCCCGAACGCCAGAGCCGGCGGGGGCGCGCGCGCGCGCGTACCACTGACCTGTACCAGGGGCAGACGGCCCGGTCCACGGGCTGCTTGAGGCCGGCTCCGGTCAGGCCCGAACGCCAGCCGGCGGGGGCGCGCGCGCGCGCGTACCACTGACCCGTACCAGGGGCAGACGGCTGAGTCCACGGGCTGCTTGAGGCCGGCTCCGGTCAGGCCCGAGCGCCAGAGCCGGCGGGGGCGCGCGCGCGCGTACCACTGACCTGTACCAGGGGCAGACGGCCGGGTCCACGGGCTGCTTGAGGCCGGCTCCGGTCAGGCCCGAGCATGGCATAATTGCCACGTCGGTCTTGGGGTTGAAGCCGCATTTCTTGAGGTACGGCATCAACTTGTCCCTACATTCGCTGTACCTGTGGCGGCATGACGGGTCTGTGTTAAGACACGGCGGGCCGACAATCGGACAGTGCAACTCAAAAATGAGGATGGCGGTGGCAGGACCCTGTGCTTTCGTTATGACGCCGCGTGTTCGTCACATGCGTAAAACATCACGTGAGGCCTATGTTGTACAAATTAAGGACAACCAAGTGCAAAAACGTTAAAAAAAAAACAAGCAAATGCCGCACCACACACCGTGCAACAAATGCCCCAGATGACTCGACAACACCCACCAGCGATACACCTCCCCTCTCAACATGCACAGATCGCTCTCCAGCCAGCCGCTGCCCGTGGGCGGGCGGCGCTGGAGCGATCTCCGCTCTCGCGACTCGTCAGCCGACCGACGAACGGACGAACGGACGGCGCCGGACAGACCACTCCGCGGACCGCGGACCGCGGACCGTGGACCGCGGACTGACCTCTGCTCGGACCACTGGACGGTAGGGTCGTCCATCTTGTTCACCAGCACCACCAGGTGCTTGACGCCGGCCGTCTTCACCAGCATGGCGTGCTCGCGGGTCTGCCCGCCCCGGTCGAAGCCCGTCTCGAACTCGCCCTTGCGCGCCGAGATTACCTGGCGGCGGCGGACGGCCGGTCAGGTCAGGTCAGGTCGCACCTGTGACCACGACGGTCCCGCCGCTCCGCCGGTGGCGCTGGCGTCGGCTGAGCGCGAGCACGCGGTCTCAAGCAGGCGGCACGGACGTGCGCGCTGATGGCACCGAGCGAAGGACCAACGCCGCCGGGTCTCAGCGCCGCGGTGTTCACAGACATAAATACAGGGTGTGCTGCGCAACTCTGCACAGCCCCATTATTGCCGGCGCGTAAGCTGGCAACCATGCGGGCGTGAATGACTCCATAGCGTGTGGTTATGGGAAGGGGTGACGGAGTGAGGGGCAGTACGTATTCCCACCAGCACGGGTCCTATGCCACAGACTGTTTTTATCATATGCCACATGCACTTCAAGCAGAGCTGTCCCAGTTCATCTCTCGACGTCATGCCCCAACCTCGCCCACAGCGTGGCCTACATCCCAGCGTGGTCCGCACTGCCCGGAGGTCCGCCCAGTTCCGCCGAACAGCCCACCCAGCAGCATGTCGGGACAGATCCTGGTGCGCCCACGCGACAATCACCGGGCGCGGTTCTAGCGCCCGGACATCCGCCACCGCCGCCGCCCGGCCGCGGAACTGCTCCACCGCTGCGGCGTGACCGTCCCGGTTCCCCGAACGGCGCGCCGCCGCCGCCGGCCTGCCCGACTCCGCAGGCGCGCGCCTCTCCGGCGAGCCGACGCCGTCGTCGAGAGCGCGGCCCGACGGAGCCACAGCCAGCGATGCCGGCCGGCGGCGGCGGCGGCGGCGCAGCGCACCATACATGATATCCGTGTCCGCCCCAGTCTTGTTCGAGGCCTCGCACAGAACGGCGCCGCCGGTACGCCGCCGACGCGTCACACACGCCGCGACGACACATCAGCCGCTGTAAAGCGACGTGAGGCGACGCGTCTCGGTGATCGATAGGGTCCGACGACTGATGGCGCAAGCACGCGCAAGTACATCACGTTCAAGACGCGTCAGTGCGGACGGAACACCGGTCTGGGCTGTCGGTCCTATTCGTGACGTTACGACTCACGCCGCTGCCGCACACGGTGACCGCACTCCACACCGGCTAACACCACTCACGGACGCGTCAGCACGCTGCCGCCCTGAAGCGCCAGCGCCACGCCGCGGGGCGCGACGGTCTCACCAGGACGGCCAGGTCGGCCTGCGAGGCGCCGCCGATCATGTTGGGCACGAAGCTCTTGTGGCCGGGTGCGTCCAGGATGGTGAAGTGCTTCTTGTCGGTCTCGAAGTACGCTCGCCCCACCTCTACCGTCTTGCCTTTGTCGCGCTCTGGCGGCAAAAACAGGCGGCCGATGAGCGATGGCGGCGGGGTGTGAGCGGCCGCGCCGCCTCGGCCAGCCGCTGGAGGCCCGGTGGGAGCGCTCCGGGAGCCGCACACGCCTCCGGCCGGCAGGCACACGGTCGCCTCACGTGAACACGCGGTCATGATAAGCCAGCAGCGTGCTGCGAGCGTCGCGGCCGGTCGTGTGGACGGCCTGCCACAGAGGGTGACCGGCAGCCGCCCCCCCCCCCCTTCGCGCCGACACCCCGGGGCGGCACGGACGGCGTGCTGATCCGCGCCCGCGCCGAGCGCTCGCGTCGCCACCGGCTGTCACCGTACACAGCAGGCCCGGCACCACGGCCCCGAGTCTGCCGTCGTCGCCCACCTGACATACCGATGGCGGGCGCCCGGCCGAGCCGGCAGGTCCCCCTGCACCCCCCCCCCCCCCCCCCCCCCGAAGCCCGGCGGCGCACCACTGACCTTCCAGGTTGGTGTCGAGCGCCCAGCTGAGATACCAGGTCTCCCTGTTCTTCTCCTTGGCCTCCTTCTCGTACTTCTCCAGGGTCCGCTTATCCACCATGCCGGTGAGGTACATGATCTGTCCGCCGATGGTCGACTTGCCCGCGTCTGGCAGCGACAGGTCACCAGACGGTCCGGTCACCGGACGCTCGGACGCTCGGACGCACGGGGTGTAACGGGCGGCGCGCGGTCACAACAGACACACGTCTGCCGCGTCCAGCCAGGGGCCGTGGCATGCATGGCAATTGGTCACTACCGACGGTATGCTACGACCACGGAAGGCCGGTGCCAGAATGGCGCCTACGTCGGCCGCGGAGACGCCTGATAACTAATACGGTCATGCAAAGTGCATAGAAATACGTTTGGGAACAGAATGTGCTAGACCCTATCACAGAACGGGAGGAAACAACACAAGGAAAAGGGCAGTTCATGGTAATATGTGAGGTACAATAATATGTAATGTCCCGCGGCAACATGAATAAAAAAAAACAACACTAAGAGACTTGCCTACAACAGGGAAAAGCGCATGAACACTATCCCCAGCTGCGATACAAACCGTCCATACGGCTGCATTCTCAATAACGCCCGAAACCGTGCGCCCAATGTCAACATGGGTGGCCGCTGTCCCCCGGCCGGCCCGCCGCAGCGTTCTCATTCACCGGTGGGCGGTATTCCTGGACTACTCGCTGCCGAGTGCCGTCCCGCACCGTCCGACAAACATGTCGCCATCTGCATAGTGGGTGACACACCCCCGCCGCTGCCGCCCACGGCCGCGCCGCCGCTGACGGCGCCGGCCTGCGGTCTGACCCCCCCCCTCCCGCCGACGGCTCGGGCGACGCAGCCGCCAGCGTTCTGCCACTTGTGAAAAGGGATGCCGCCGAAGGGAACTGCCAACGCGCATCCAAGATAGACGGATTACGATCAACATAAGGCTACTTGTCACGTCTACGTATATAAATTAAATAACGGCAATCGGTCATAGAATGTGAAAGTAACATCCGACAAGCAGCTACAGTCCGAGACCAATACCATAACGTCCAGGGGCTCCGCCATACTTTAAAACTGCCATTTAGTACAACAATAAACCCCGTCACGCCATGGACTTTACGACCTCAACCTATTTCCCACAGAGTGAAGATAAATGGTACCCAGCGTAGAGAGCACGAAACGCGGATGAGTGTCCATAAAAAAGGCGCGGCTGTGTTACAGCAGAAAAGTGAATTCACTGATACAAAAAAAATCACAAAACATGATTTAAAAAGGCATGCATGTACACATTCCGCATTTTCATCCCGGAAGCCCAACACCTCTGTTCACAGAGCTATCCACGCTGAAATGTTGATGGTTTGGCCCGGCGGGCTGGCACTGACCGACGTGTCCGATGAAGACCATGTTGACGTGCTCCTTGGTGCTCTCGCGCTCCGACGGCTGCCGCACCTTCTTCTTGCGCGGCTTCAGCTCCTTGGACTCGCTGCCGTCGTCCTCGTCCTCGTCCTCGGCCTCATCCTCCTCGTTTGGCGTCACTGGCGGCGGAGGGCGCGTTAGGGGTGTCGGGCGCGTGGCGGCGGCAGCGGCCGCAGTGGGGCCGGCTCCGGGCGCGGCCTCGCCGACCGAAGTGGCTCGGCCAGCGCCGGTGTCGGCACGGCCCGGACCGGGTCAGCGGCGGGCACACCGAGGCCAGAGCTCCGCGCGCTCACCGCGCATCGGCAGCGTCTCCTCGCGGTCTGCCTCCTCCACCAGCGACAGGCGCGCACGCGGCAGAGGAGAGGTCGGTGGCGCCGCCGATCAGACCCAACCCGCCGGACACTGGCACCGGCTGGCGGTGACGACGCCCGACGGACTGCGACTGGTGTCGCCGGGCGGCTCCGCGCTCCTCCCGCGCCGCCGTCGCCTCCCCTCCAGACCGCCGGCCAGACCCGGGCGGAAGCAGTCGCAGATTGGTCCCGGCTGATTGGACGATCGGCCCCTGCGATAGCGTGCCGCCGCGCCCGGGGAACGGCAGCGTACGCGGGAGGACGACGTGCCGAGTCGTCCAGCCTGGCTGCGCCCATCGGCCGGGGGATGACGCGGGCTGCATCCGCGGGGCGTGCGAGCGCAATACACAGCACCAGAGAACTCAGAAGAGCGACTCGACGGGCAAACGCACAGAACATCACGCCTTTTGCAGATGCCAGAAATGTCGGCCCGGAGGATATAACTGCCACGGCTTAAGACGAGTCAGCTTCCTGGCAAAACATCCGCTACGTGGCAGTTCAATCGGCGCCGCACGAACGCTCTGGCGGGAAGTGAAAAGAACGGCGCCACCGTATTTCGCCTGGGAGTTTCATCGCTGAATGAATTCGGGAGCAGACGTCGAGTCGGCACAACAGCATTAATTAACTTTAGAGTTCATCCTCATAAACAAGCAAGGCAGGCGGGATGTCAAGTCGTAAAAAAATCTGGCAAATAACGGTAGAGAAGCAGAGGCAGATAAGAAACGAGCGGAAAGTCACACAAAGTGAGAGGGTCAACAAAAGGGAAAGATACCACGGAGAAACACAATTCACATAAAAAAATGGAGACAAGAGGTAAGATTGGCAGCAGTAAAAATAGAGGGTATACAAAAGATGAGAGGGAAAAAAAGGATAAAAAGAAAGTGGAAATGGGACTTGAAAGGGGACACGACATAGACGAGAGCGAACAGAGAACACATGTAAAGCGGTAAACAGACAGACAATGCACGTAGCTGAGTGAGCGGCAGCGAAACAGGTGAGACAGACGCAGGATGAGACGAGAGACATATCCAAACCAAGGCAACACATGGACAGCCCAGTGAACACGCACAACTACAGCGCTGCAGCCGTGAGCTCCGACGGACACCAGCCCCAGCGCTGGAGCCGCGTGATCCGGCGGGCTCCAGCTCCAGCGCCGGAGGCCGGGCGGGCACCGTAGGCGGTCTCCAGCTCCAGCGCTGGAGCCGTGTGATCCGGCGGGCTCCAGCTCCAGCGCCGGAGCCGTGTGATGCGGCGGGCCCAACCCCAGCGCTGGAGCCGCGTGATCCAGCGGGCCCAGCTCCAGCGCTGGAGCCATGTGCTCCGGCGGGCTCCAGCTCCAGCGCCGGAGGCCGGCCGCCACAGGCGAGCCGAAGCGGGCGCCACTGACCGGCCTCGGACGTGCTGTCGGCCGTCTCCTCCCAGTTGTCAACGGTGGCGTCGGCGGCGCCGGCCGAGTGCTTGCCGCTCGTGTCGTCGCCGGGTGTGGTGGCCGACGAGTTGGTGGACGAGGCGGGACGCGGCCCGTCCTCCGGCGGCGGCGGGTCTGCCGGCAGCGCGACCGGATGGTGAGCGGCGCCGGCGCCGCGCGCCACCACGCGCACTCAACTGGGAGGGAACCCGCGCGGCGCGGACACGGTTGGCGGGGGCCTAGCCAGGCAGCGGCGCTGTGAACGCCTGCTGCCTGCTGCTGGTGGCCAGGGACATGGCACAGTACATGGAAGCACTGTGTGAGCACACGGGTGACAGGCTCCCGTCCATGACAGCACTGCTCGGACAGGGAGATGAGCGCATGGCGTGTGGGGGCCTGTACAATCAGGTGACTGTTGTGGGCAGCTCGATGCGGGGTGACACGCGTGATGGCCATCACAGGGTGGCACGGCCTGGCCAACCTGCCATCCGGCAGTGTTAGCGTCATTTGGCTCTTGCCGTGGCTGGTGGTTTTAGTCTGCTTAGTAAATGTGGGACAATAAAGGATAGACGTGGTATTTTAAGTGTCTGTGGAAGAATAGCATTATGGTAAATGGTCTCACAGCAACTTTGTTTGACCTGACGGATTGCCAAACTATGCCAATACCAATGCTAAGCAGAGTTAGCATTCATGTTGGGCAACTTCTAAATCATGTCATGAAGGCTGCTGGAATGTAATGACCAGCACTGCCAGACAGCTACTTTGCATCATGCAATTTGCATTTGTCCGTCCCGGTGGCTCAGTTGGTTAGAGCGCCTGCCTCCCGATTCACCCACCCATGGCGGGGTGGGTTCGAGTCGCTTTAGGCGCTCCCTATTTGCCCTTGACAGGTATGGCCTGCAGCCGGTGGCAGCGGTCGCGCTAAAGGTCAGTTGACGCCAGCGAAGCAGGACGGACCGTGCCGAGCATTGCGGCACGTTAAGCTTTCGCCGCTACATTCTGCCGTTGCCTGGAATTGCGCGATCGGATGGTAGGAGGTCAGGGCTCACACAACAAGCACTACTTAGCGTGAGCACTGATCCCAGAAATCCATCCAAAGGGTTCACAGCAAATTTATCAAAAATACATAAAATAAAAATATCATCACTAACCAAAGCAATTTATGGCCAAGCTAGATGCATTCGTGTCCATATGGACACAGTTATCAACCATCATACACTCCAAAATGGGGCTGAGATCACCAGCCGTGAGCATTGTGTTGGACAAAGTTGACCTAAATGACACTTGCCCTAAGAACGCCAAGAACTCGTACATTCTCGTATTTAATGTTATTTCACTGAATGGAGGATAACTAGCATTCAACATTGCCACACTACTATAACACAGTAACATACAGCAAAATAATGGCAGCTTCACAATCCTATTTAGTAGGATCAGCACATTGTTACAAGCAAATTTATGGCAGCATGGTAACAGTGCAATCCTTCAGCTTACAAATGAAAAGCAATGTGATGTAACACTATCCACCTTATGCAGATGGGCTCATCAATGCTGCAGTACCCCAGAGGAAAACACATTGGCACACTGTCCATGTAAGTATTTTTGTGCATGCATGACATTGGTCTTTCTATTACAAAAACTGAAAATCAACAGGAGCTTTCAGTGAAGAATATCAGACAACTTACAGGCACCCACAGTCCATACACACACAGGCTTATGAAGATCAGTACAGATGCACAACTACAGGTGTAATTGTTTGCAACTCCAGCCTGGCATGGTGATCCATAATACCCACAAGCATGGCATCTTACCATTAATATTTCAGACCACCATACATAAAATACTGAACATTTCTCCCATTCTCTAAGCATCCCCTTGTTGTGATTGACTGAGTTTGAAGGGCAGATGAACCATGGGGCACCTTTGTGCCCCTGCTTCTCTTTGTGGTGCAAAGTATACTTATATGGTAGCAAGACTGAGTGCAGTGGAATTATTCTATCCCAGCTTAAACAAAAAGGTTTGGTCAAAAAATCCAGCTGTGAGATTGACATGTAAAGGTAAAAGCAAATTCTTCATTGTATTATATTTCTGTAATATAACATAAGGATTAAAACACTGCATAACAACCTGACTTCAATACTGACAGTCCAACCTAAATTCACAGAGCCCAGCACCTAGCTTCAAACAGACTCAAACAAGAATTAGGCCTGGCCAGCATAACCTTGTTTAAGGCCTTTTAAGGCCTTTTCTAGATTCTGCACCACACCTTTGAACATCCTGTGCGAAGAAGATGCTATGATGCATCAGAGTCATATAGTTAGTCCTTGCTCCAAGCCACCCTGTTATGGAATGCTATGTCCATAATGTAAAACCTTAGGTGGGAAGACCACATCAAAATCCCATTACAGCACCCAGCCTGCCAATTATGGCAGATTTTCATAACATCTTGTTGGGGCAGGGTTGGGGCGGAGAACAATATTTGGGTCATGCCCTGGAAATCAGTAGGTAGGAAGTCTTAACTTGGGACTGCTCACATTATTGAAGCACTGTACCTAAAGGCACACACTCAACCAGGGTACGGACAGTGGAACCATAACATGCACTGCCAGGTGTAAAATATAAAGAAGAGCAGCAACTCATCAAAGCATGGAAACCCAACAATGAAGTATCATTGGTCTTGAGTGTGTGTTAGTTGTCTCCATAAATGCCATATTATCCTGTCCAGTCATTCACACAGATGCTCACACAGCACCTGTAGCCAAAGATCCACCAATGAGATTCCAGCACCACAACAAAAAAGTGGTGAGCATGTGAAAGCTTCCTGCTTGCACCAGCCTCTGCTGCTTGTTCTTGACAGGTGAACCAGCTGCACACAACAGCGCACCAGATACAGGCAGAGTGGTGGTTCCAAAGCCATTATTGTTTTATGTTATTAAATGCTCCACATATTTGTATGCATTATTTGTATCATACAAAAAATGTCATCAAAAGTGCAAGTTTGATAAAATTCAGTGTGATTTGGACCTGTCTTGAACATCACAGAAGGTGCAACATTTGTCAGCAGATGCAAATTAGATTGAACCAGACCAGCCACAAGCATCATGTTGAATTTCTCTAGGTTATGTATTATACATCAAGCCATTGCACCAAGCCATTTGAAGAAACCCTCCAGTATATATATATATATATATATATATATATATATATATATATATAAACAACACTCAGTCAAAACTTTAAAGGAATGTTTCATGTTTGAAGACACTGAAGCCAGCATAATAAATCATTTAACATGCTCACTTATATAAATATTACATTTAAGAAAAAAGCACTGATAGACAATGCAATACCTGTTGACTACATACAATTCTCAGTAAGGCATTGCTTGATTATCATTATATCTTGCACAATATTGAAAACCAATTGACTGGCATATCTAGAAATGGTTTCCTAATATCAGAAATAATGACTTGACAATGGTATTTTTCCTGGCTTTTATTGTCATGTGGCCAGTGGAATTGCAGGATTTGAATAACATCAACATGGTGTCATGAGTGCCTGTGACCTTGAAATAGTCTCCCAAACCCCAGACATCTTTGCTGACATAGAGCTCAGAAACTAGACAGACTTCTCTCTTCAGAATGGCAGAACCATTAGCTTCACCCAATGATCATGATGGCCATTTCAGTGCAAAGCCCATGGAAATGTAGAACACTCACTTTGATACCTTGATCTTCTTGTTATTTTTTTACTAACCAGAAGTTACCTTATCACTTCAAAGGCAGCATTTCACTTTTGAACTATTCTAAATCAACCACTAAGTTCATCCACATAGTCCTATAAGCATCTTGTTATCATCCACATGAAACAGCCAAACAGCATGGCAGGAGCTCAGTGGACCACATTCCTGAATTTGTCATATGTTATCAAATCTTGACAGCACGGTGATGCACAAACGGAACTATGCCATTGCCTAATTTTGACCTCAACTGCATGCCTGCGTGCCTGTGCAGGACAAGGTAGCTATCAGTGCCTTGATACTTATTTACAACAATGATACACCCCAATATCTGGGTTCTGGGTCATGACAAGGCATGAAGCCTATCAGGCAGTCTACTGAGTGAATGCCTGGGAGCATCTGAGGCATCCCCATGCATGCGAAGTTTGAATGGCTAAAAGATGGCAGTGAGTTTGGCTTGCGGACTATTTCACCATTCATAAGACATTTGGGGTTAAACAGGAAGAAAAGGGCATCAGGCGAGACAAAGGCCTGGAAACAAAGCATATGTTATTGGCATACTTACCCGGCGCCGCAGGGGTGGCCCATGATGGTACAAATTCCGCTGCGTTCACATTGAGCCTCGACAGACTCTGCTCGAGTTCTGATCCTGATTGCTCCATTTTCAAATCCGCAGATGCTCGAGTTTCCACCCGATTTCAACAACTGAGCACGCACTTAATTAAATAATCGTGGAACAAGAAACAACGAATAATATCCCCCGCTCCCACAGCGCCACGTTTGCCCCGATAACCGGAAACAACCTATCCGTGTTGTCAGCTATCTAGTATCAAATATTTAGATGTGAAAGCTTATATTTTTAAAATGTGATAACTGTTTTTTAAAAATACAAAAAACGCACAAAATCCAGGCATTGAAATAAAACTCTTCAATTTACCACATTTTGGCTGTCCTTTAAAGATGAATTGTATTACATAGTTTATATATGCTAAAATATACTAGATCAGTAATGAGGTGCGTCGACCGCAAAGGTGGGACTGGGCTGCGAAATAAAACACCCTCAAATTGTAGCCTAAATGCGTCGGATAAGCTGGCCTATAAGGATGTAATCAAGCCGGTCCTGGGGGCCGTAATGCCTTGAAAGTCTGGGGAAGGTAGGGGGTGCTGAGGCGGCCGAGCCCTAAGGGAACAAAGGCAAGGTTCCCAAGGATGACCGACAGGATCTTATTGGGGCTTTGCCACGCAGCCGGCTGCTGAGGTTATTTCGCTTCTCATCTGCCTCTCACCCTGGCAGGAAGGACAAGCACCGCAGTCAGGCCAACAGGCTTTTGAAGGCGTCATGTGTGATCCGTAAACATTGACCGGACCGAAACATGGTCGTCGGAATAACACCCGCTGGGCGAGCCATAGTTCACCTCGTATCGGAAATCGAAAATTAGCTCTATAGTGGCATGTCGAAGGACAAGTACTTTCTTCGAATTCTAGCATCAAGACGATGGCACCGCTTTGGGACATGACCAGCCCTTCGCTTTTGTTCAAAATTTTATATTTCGGAGCCGTGTTTACCCCAATGCGGACACATGGAGTCAAACTGATATTAGCAAGGCAACCATCCGTTCCTGTGGCGGCAGGGTGTTCTGGTTTTCTGCTCTGATGGGCATCTCTCTCCCTCCCCCCTCCCCCGCTTTGGGCTCCAGGCAGGTCCAAAACTGGCCGAACAAACTAATTAATTTATTTCATGTGAAATTAATCAATCGGGACGGAAAATAGCTTCACGAAGAGCAAAAATGACCAGCAGGCGACCAGGAAGTGTTGCAAGTGTAAATGCAAGGCCCCGAAGCAAAGAAAAATACTCCTTGGTCGTTTGAAAGGTTGGTGGTAAGGAGGGGTGGGATAAGGGTTTATTGCGCTGTCTAAAGGCCCTTCCCTGTTGCCGGGAAGCCCACATGACCACTTCGCGGAACGCTGCAATCGCTGAGGAGCTCTCCACGTTGCCCTTGATTTATTCGCACTCATTCGGAGGATCCTAGACTGTTGTCGCTATGGAGCCCTTACGACGCACTCAG